TGCATCAGTAAGTGTCACAGGAACATGTAAATAAAAAGCTCCATGATCTCAATGTAGTTTGTTGTTGTTTTGTAATGTTGAAAAAAAAGTAATTTGGCTTGGTATTTCCTTAGTTTTTTGCTCCCCAAAACTGGACAGAAGGACTAGATCGGGAATTTGTTTTGAACATGGTTTCCTTCTTCTACCCCGACGTAAGGCAGACACTACTTAATGTTACAATATTACTGTCCCCTGACCTGCTCGAGCTTCTTTGATTGATGTGCTGCTTATTTCTTTAAGCCTAAAGCAGCATTTATCAGAGATGTGATAGCTGATGAATATATTGGAAATGGTGACGACCGTGTGAAAAACAGATGGGTACACTGAGATGCTTGGAGATTTGTTTTTCACCATTCCAGCGATCAAAGCTGCTAATGCTCACAGAGGTAATTTAATTTGTTTAATAAAAGATTATACAATTCTGCCTAAAACCCAGCACTTGATGTTTACTGTGACACACTTTCATTAACAAATATCACACGCATTCGTCTAATTCCAGATGCAGGCGCTCCTGTATACCTGTATGAGTACCAACATCCTCCCAAATTCCTGCAGCAGAAAAGGCCGAGCTTTGTCGGGACTGACCATGCAGATGAAATGTTTACAGTTTTGGGATTTTGCTTCACAACTACCTATATTAGGTTACCCAGTAAGACTTTATAAAAACTCTGCCTTAGTGCTTGATCTGTTTTGTTTTGTTGATTGAAAAGTGTTTTGCAACATGATCGTTTTAGATCCGTGCCCTGAGGATGAAGAACAGTTGAGCAAGGTCATGATGAGCTACTGGGGGAACTTTGCTCGCACAGGGTAGGAATTTCCAAATGTTGTAAATTTCACACATTTAATAACTGAATAACAAATGTATATGTGTTTAGATCTCCTGATGGGCACAACCCACTGGCCAAAGTATGGAGCAGAAGAAAAGTACCTGGCGATTGGTTTAAAAAAGCAGGTAACTGCTCAGCACCTGAAGAAGGAGCACTTTGTCTTCCTGACTCAGACCGTCCCAGAGAAGATCAAACAGGGTGCAGGTGTCCCTGTGAGACCATATTCACCACACCAGGGCCTGTGCTGCTGGCTTATACCATTCTCCTTTCACCAGGGCCTGCGTTGCTGGCTGAGGCCAACTACATTTGACCAGGGACTGTGCTACTCGTTGATTGCATCCACATTACACCCGGGCCTGTTTTGCTGTC